GTCAAACAACTTCTATACAACGAAAGGAGACTGCGACCACACAAAAAGCCATACCATCTTGGTCTTCATACCTTCGATGTACAAGGGTAATTTGCGAATTCTAGCGCTGACTCTAGCTAAAGTAGAGCCATGTCGTTATTCTAGTTTTTCTGCGGCATTGAACAAAATCGATCATCAAAAGCAGATTTAAAGACAGCTCGCCACAATGGCCACATTAACTGATGAAAAATAACCATGCTATCTTATTTGAGCACAAGATATAATAGGTATATACATAACTTTATTTTCCTGATTTCATTGGGATTATATGGCCTATCATCTTGCGATTACCCGAAGCTCTGCCCTGCAAAGATGATCTGCTTACTTGTGGGGCCCAGCGGACAGGATGAGAGCCCAAAATGTTCACTGATTTCCGTCAGGAGTTGTGCATGTCCACCACCTTACGTTGGAAGGAACGACCACAAAATGGTTGCCTGCGGTTTGAAAGTAAATGAAACTGGAGAAATAGTTTATGGATTGCCCGTTGACCGGAACAACCAGCCAGTGTCACGTCTGCTGGATGCCGTGGTCGAGGCCCCCGCAACGCCTTGCCTACCCACCGACTGTCAGCCACTGTACAAATGGTGTGAATGGGGTGTATGGACAGCCTGGAGTCGAGTTTGTGGAGAGAAGGCGTATCAACAGAGACGCAGATACCGTGGCTGCTGCGAATTGGCGCAGTGGAAGCCCGAGTTGATTGCACACGCGTGTTCTAGTCACCTTAATTTGTACCCCAGACCCAAATTGCCAGGCAAGGCTTTGGAGAGACAAACCCGGGAAACCACAAAGAGCTGCACGAACTTGTCCCAACTATTGGCCAGTGTAGAGGGCAAAGGCGATGATGATGTGGAGAAAGCCCTTTTAGGGTTAGCTGTAATTAGTCTTGTGACCCTGATTGTCTCGCTTGTTCTTGTCGTCTATTATGTAAGGCTTGAGTGAATATTGGCAACTCACAGCTGGAGACACAATCAGATACAAGTCGAACTAAACACCCTGGGCGGCATAGCAAAGGATTATTAGCAAAGCAGACTTTCCATCGTACC